GAAGAGAACCTTCCACGACTTTTGGTTCAACGCCGGACGCCGGACAACATTTTCACCGGTTCATAGATTCAACAACGTGCGCCCGGAGGAAGGGAAAGCCTCCTGAATCATTCAGGAGCCGCGGAAGCGATCGATCGGTGTGTGGACCAGCGAGACCGCGGATGTAAAGTCTTGTCTCCTTGCCTCTCCTCTCCCCATCCCTGTCCCCGCAGGTATAAATAAGACCACCTAGCTCTCTAAGGAATCATCACTCCGGTGATCTCCCCCCACTCCCACCCACTCCCACTCCCATCCTAAACCACAAATGCCTTCATTCGCTCCCGATGTTGAGCGCGGAATCCCCATGCATGCTATGACCTTGGCCCTCCCCCCCAACGCATTCGTGCCCCAAGACAGCGCCCCTTCCACCCCTACCCACGAGAAAGAAGACGTTCTGTCGCTGCGGGCGGCGGAAAAACAGAACGTTCCCCCCCTTGCCTTCCCGAAGAAGAAACGCACTACCAGCCGTTGGATACAGTTTCAGTTATGGTTCAACACGTATAGGTACGCCCTCGTCGCCTTTCTTTCGCATCATGCTCACCGCGCCCTACAGAAAATTCTTTACCTTCATCGTCTCTTTGAATCTCGTCGCATTGGTTCTCGCCGCCACCAACACATGGGCATACCCCCGAAGATTTGCGGGCGCGTTCGTTTTGGGCAATCTGCAGTGTGCTATCTTGGTTAGAAACGAATTATTCGGGCGGTTCTTGTACCTGCTCGTCAACACCCTCTTCGCAAAGGTACGCGCACTTCTATTCATCTTTGAATTGTTAAATTTACTCACTAATTCTTGCAGTGGCCGCCTCTCTGGCTTCGTCTCGGTCTCACATCGGCTCTTCAGCATCTCGGCGGTGTGCACACGGGGTGCGCTACGTCTGGCGCAGCTTGGCTTGTTTATCGTCTGGTCCGCATCGGCACTCATTATGACCGCTACCCCACCTCCATCGTCGCTTCGGGAGTCGTCACTGCTACTGCTGTCTTTGTTTCTATGGCTTCCGCTGTACGTCTTTATCTCTTCTTCCTCTTTGAACTCATAATTGATTGTCTTCAACAGATTCCTTGGGTCCGCAATACCCACCACAACATCTTCGAAGTGTTTCATCGTGTCGTCGGGTGGATCGGTCTTATTTCAACTTGGGTCTTCGTCGTCCTCGGCGACTCCTACAATCATCAAACCCACTCTTGGGGTTCGAGCGGCATCCGAATGATCAGTCACCAGGATTTCTGGTTCGCAGTTGTCATGTCTATTTTGTAAGTCCAACTTCGCCCTCCTTCGCCAGTGCTTTCTAATTCTAACATACATGTCTCCAGCGTCATCACTCCCTGGCTCACCGTGCGCCGGGTCTCCGTCCAGATTGAATTGCCCTCGCCAAAAGTCGCTGTTTTACGTTTCGAGCGGGGTATGCAACAGGGCCTCTTGGCCAGAATTTCGCTGGGATCGCAATTGGAATATCACGCATTCGGAACTATTTCGTACGTCTTTCATTCTTCGTCCCTCGTTTCGATGCTGACTGCTCTTCAGTAAGGGCAAAGGGTCCAACGAGCATTACTTGATCTGTGGTGTCCAGGGCGATTTCACTAAGTCCCTCGTTCAGAATCCGCCGACACACATGTGGACGCGTCAGCTAAAGGTTCCTTTCTTTCCCTCATCGCTTCCTCCCTCATACTGATTGGCTTCTTAGTTTGCCGGTGTCTCGAACACCACGAAGATCTATAAACGCGGAATTCGCGTCTGCACTGGAACGGGTCTTGGCGCCGCCCTCTCGAGCTGCCTGCAAAGCCCTGATTGGTACGTGCGCTCACTCCGAGATTTCTTTCTTCCACTAATCTCGCATCCACAGGTACCTCATATGGATTGGTTCCGACCAGGCAAAGACTTTTGGCCCTACGATCTCGTCATTGATTACCGATAACCTGCCGCCGACGCAGTACTGTCTCTGGGATTCGAAAGAACGCGGGAAACGACCCGATATTATGAAGCTGATCAAGGAGACGTACGACTCGTGGGGCGCTGAAGTTGTGTTCATCACATCAAATATGGGGGGGAACACGGAGATGATGGAGGGGTGCAAGAAAGAGGGTATACCTGCCTTTGGTACTTTGGTACGTGCTTTTCTTCTCACTCGTTCAACGCATCGACTGATTTCTGCTCTTTTCACAGTGGGATTTCTAGGACTGTTCTTTTTGTTGCTTATTATCATGGAATGCATGGAGCTGGCTCTGCACCGTAGAATGTATTTCTTCTGCTCGTTGTAAAATGCTATAAACTGGAACCGTTAGGGAACCAGTTCTGGCCCCGTTCCCTCATGTGTGCACCTTTCAAATCACAGAGGTGTCCTTTCAAATCGCAGAAGTGTTATCACTTTAGATCTTGAACTCATCTTTGTCCACTTCCAAATTTCCAATAATGGTAAAGCGGCGAGGATCTCAGACTCTCCGATTATTCCAGTCAAGTCCGGATCATTCCAGTACCGGTACTCGTGCATCTCGGAGTTTCAGTCGCGCGCGCTGCCTCGCACTGCTATCGACTGTGGGCGTCGCGCTATGGGCTATAGGCTATTCTGGGTCCACAATGCACATCGTATTCGCCGAGCCTGTTTGCAAACGGCGAATTCGACAACTTTAAGTCTGGATTCAATCTAATCTTGGACATTGGACACCGTGCAGGCTTCTCACATGTGTTTCACGCCCGCTTCTTCCTTCTATGTACTCTCATCTCCAATCTCTGGCCCTCTTCCATATTGCCGAGTTGACCTTACTTCAACCTTACTTAAAGATACGATGCATGTGTTTCCTGTGTTTCCGTCTTCGTCCTGCTTCAAGTTTCCTCTTCCGTCCTGAGGGTTGTCCTATTCCGTCCCTTAACTCTAGATCTCCCACTTCAAGGTTCCTCTTCCGCTCGGCGCTCAGTTGGATGTTCCCTCCTCCGTGCCAAATTCAAATATTTCCCCGGCCCCCGCTACCCCCCGCTCGAACCGTTTTCCCCTTCCCCTTGTCCCCTTCTGCTTTCCCCCGCGCTCGAAAAACCTTTTCCCGCCCACCTTACACCTTGCCGCCTACAGTACGCCCACATAGCCCTACATAGCCATCGGCCGCACATATGATCTCGGGCATATTTTTAATTTCTTACCCCCCGCGGAGGCACAATGATACTTAGATCCGCTGGGGATCTTTCATTTACGCATTACGCAGCACGGGCCGGTATGTAGGTTTATCTACGCGACGCGTCGGATGTTTGATTTCCTTCAACCCGAGTCCGAATCAACCGAGGCAACCCTCGCGTAGTCGAGCCCTGCATAGTGGGTTATCTCTGACTCTTGCGCGTTTGACTGGACGAGTCAGAGAGAAGTCAGAGCACAATGGAAGATGGAGGGACAAGGGAGGAGGAGTCAGAGGGGGAAGGAAGACAGGCACGATCCGCGTGCGTTTAAACTTCCCTTGTCCTTTGCTCTGCACTAAGCCTAAATCATCATAGGTCTGTTGTAGGTTTGTCTGTCTCTCTACTCTTTGACTCTCTGCAACTCTCCACGAGGACTCACCGATTACCTCGCGTTGACTCGCAGAGTACAATGGCCAAATCAGCTTCAAGGCACGCACAACCCGCGTGTGCGTCTGGTGCCTGCGCGGGGAGCAATAAGCAATAAGCAATACGGAGGACGGTGCGTGGATCCGTATCACCCTTCACGTTAGAAAATTTAAATTTAATCAGCGGCGTTTATCTAGGTTTATCGTGGGCGTATCACTGGGGCGTCGATCTGCAGGGAGGTGCAGGCGCCGGTGGATCCCTGTGGATCCGCAGAGGTAAAGCCGAAGTTGCGGGAGATTTGAGTGGGGTTTGGGTTTGGGTTGGGTTGGGTTTGAGCGTGTATGAGGCGTAAGGTCTCGTACGTTGGTACTGATCAAGGGGTCCCTTATGGCTCAGGGTACGTCCCAGTTAAGCACCAGGTACGACGAAATTGCGGTACCCAGCTCATTCCTTTCGCTGACGGTGCTGACTCTCTCCGGTCTCGCAGATGCCTCCGGCACGAGCCCCGACAAGTTTCAACCCAGCATTCAACTAACATCCCTTTTTCGTCCGTGCTGGCGCATTAATATTCCTCCAACCAAAAATGTCGAACACCGAAACCCTGGAAGGCAGCATATCACCCGCCTCCGCGGGATGTTCTCACCTTGACACCTTCTGTTGAACGAGAGTACCGGGTTCGATTCCCGGCGTACGAATTCAACAACGTCGGGTTTTTTTTTTGCGTACAACCGCCGGCTGGCAACGGGAAGTATGTGCTTTTCTCGGTGCGTTGTCTCAGAGTTCCTCCGCATCTTACAGCGAGATGAGTAGAAGATGAGCAGCTTCGGAACAAGCATACGCACTCGGACGTGGGCATGGCGCACACCCGCTTTCAATGAAAGCTCCAGCGATGATCGAGCAGAAGAACCGGGTTCGATTCCCGGCGTCCGAATTCAACGTTTAACTGCAAGAAGCTTTGTATCTTGACACCCACTTTTCTTGGGGTCGGATTGGAAATGGAAAGGCGCAGGTCCGGTTCACGTTCAAAATCGGTTCTGAACGGGACCGCGGTAACACTATTCAAAGCAAGTTCACGAACTCGGACGTGGTGCATGGTGCACACCCGCTTTCTTTTGGGATTTTCGCGGACTTCAGGCGGGAGCACCGGGTTCGATTCCCGGCATCCAGATGCTCGCATATCATATCATATTTTCCCAAACGCTTCGTCTCTTTGCTTTGAGCTAGATTCGTCCGTTTCTTCAGCGACGACCAACGGTTTATCGCAGAACCTCTCTACTTCTCTGTGAAGTCAATAATTACTGGTCCAGAGGGTTTTATTTATGATATTCCCATACACCCAACATACACCCACATGCTTTTCTTTTACTAATATTGTCGATGGGAATCGCAATGAGATGGATACATAGGACCTCAACAGCCACACGAGTCTATGAACTCGGACGTGGTGCAGGGCGCACACCCGCTTTCACGGACTTCAGGCGGGAGCACCGGGTTCGATTCCCGGCGTCCGAAATTCAACTGCAGTTAGCTTTTTCTCTGTCTCTTCCTGCCCATAGATGGGCATTCCCCGGGCGGCTCGTTGAAAGTGGTGACACAGACCCCGACAACGAAGCTGGTCCTAGCGGGCTTTCGGACGCCACGGTATGCTATATCTCGTACCTAGCCTGCCCCCAACATAGAGGGAACTCGGACGTCGTGCACGCGCACACCTGCTTTTCTCGGGGTCTGGACAAGCGCACGGCTCGGGTTCGATTCCTGGCGTCCGGTCTCGAAGTACGTTCCTGCCTTTTTCTCTGCCTCGTTCACCCTGCGCCGACTGACGTCTTTACGCAGCAGACATAGGTTCTCGGCATGAGGGTTCGTGCCTCAGTGGGGGCGCCGACCACGATTTGTTCCTGTTCTTCACGGTGATCTCAAGGGCGCAAAATGATGGAAGATTACTAACTTTGAAGCAAGTTTATGAGCTCGGACGTGGTGCACGGCGCACGCCCGGTGAGCGGCGGAGATTCAGGCGGGAGAATCAGGTTCGATTCCTGGCGTCGGAATTCGAAGTGTGGGACTGCCTTTTTCTCTTTCGCTCACTCGGCCATTGACATATATCTCACCTCAAAAAAAAATGAACTGCTGACCGACTTACAAACAAACGAGGCACGAGCTTATTCCATCGTAGTGTCTGTTTACATAATTATAAGAGACTATGCCAATGACCGAGGTCCGACGGCAACCTCGACACATGTCCAAAACAAATGGTACCTGGCTTCAGCCAGGTACGCAATAAAAACCCTCATACCACGCTCACTCGCCCGACAGATATCTCTCAGAATATTCGACCCAAACCTCGACACAGCTCAAAAAGAGGAGGGCGTTGGAAAGCGAGTATGGTCGATTAAACTTCGGTGCTCAGGGACAGCTGATGCGTTCAAGGGGGAACCGGCATTCAAACCGGCGACTAAGGGCCGGGTAGGTAGTCCGGCCGTCAGGCCGGAAAAAATTGTTTTCAACCCCCCGATATATACGTGAAAGATGGTCCTGGTGAGCAAATGAGACATTTCCGAGCCTTAAAAACCAGCCTGGATCCATTCTCCGGGTGCGCAGAGTGAGGGCATCACTTTGGTTCCAAAAGCGGTCAAAATGTGGTCGTGTTTGTCAAGGGCTCCAACATCGGGTGTACCAAATTTCGGAGCAGACTGCACCTCTGCATACATATTCGGTACTTAGAGGTGGATGTTATATGCCTCTGAAGGTACCTGTAGCAGCTCGTAGGTAAATCACAGGTCCGGCGACTCGAACCTGTCGGAAATTACTATATATGGAGCGTGGGAATGCTTACGTTAGGTAGGTAGTCCCGCCGCCGGGTCGGAAAAAAGAAAATCGGCCTAAGGTTTTTTTTTAGAACGCCGGTTCCCCCTTGGATGCGTTGGGAATTCGGATGGGGCACGATGCACGACCGCTTTCGATTGGCGACGAAATCCTCACTAATCAACGGATCAAAAGACACCGCCACGTCCGGATCGTTCCGCTTACTCCTCTTCAAATCCTCTCCCCTCTTCCCTTTTCAGAGTCTGAGCTGGGCTTGCTTGCTGTCTGTGGCTTGGCCTTTTGTTGCGTTGGATCATTGCAAGTTGTGGCGCTCTGGTGGATCTATCCCTCAAGACTCTTATAATTAGCAAGACCTCGGACCAGTGGAAAAATGTGTCACGTCGCGCGCAGCGTCCCTCGAACCTGCGCATATCGGGCCAGTCCCATCGACACCCGGGAAGACCCACCGCACGCGTTCAAGTGACCCTGACCGCGACGAGTGAGTGAGCTTCCGTCGCCACCGGCGCAGCGCGCTCCCCGCCGGCCCTCCCACTCAATCGTGGTCCCGCACCAGTGCGCCCAGCGTCCCCGCCATGCAACGGCCCATGCCCCCTCCCCCCCCTCCGCCGGCGCGCAGTTCTACCCGCAAGGGTACTACCCCCCTGCCCCCGGATACTTCCCCGCGCAGCCGAACCCGCCACAACCGCCACTTCCGCTGCAAGGAGGACACAATTGCAACCGCTCACGCTCGACCTCGCAGGCGCAACCGCCGCCACCGAAAGCGACGCGGATGCGCAGCTACAGCTTCGCACAGGCGCCGCCACCGAACGGCGCGCGCTCGAATTCGTATCCGTACACGGCGGCGCAGGCGGCTGCGGGCGTGGGGACCAAGGGGTATGTGTACCACCCCGGATACGTCACGGCCCCGCCACAGCAATACGGCAGTGGCGGTGGGGCAGGAGGGCCGTACGGCGGCGCGCACCCGGCGCTTTTCAACCAGCCGCAGGCGCTGCGCGGAGCCCGACGAAGGAGGTGCCGCTTTTGAAGCGCGTGTTTGGGTTTGGTTGGGGGAATAAAGGGCGGGAGAGGGAGGGGAGGAGTAGCAGCAGGGAGGGGAGGAGAAGCTCGTGGAGGCAGGATACGTATCGAGGTGCGGGGTGTCGTTCCGTCTGTCTCGCTCGTCTCCACCTTTCCTCCCTGTCATTCCCGTGTCTGCCCCTGCGGCCGTCCCACACCACACTGTATCCACCACCCGCCTGCCCGTCGTCTTGTCTGCACATATTCCGTGATACCTCCCTCATCTCGTGTTTGGGTTCGGTGGGGGCAAGAGGGAGAGTCGAAGTACTAGCAGACATGGGGGGAGGAGGAGCACGTCGAGGCAGGATTCGTATTGAGGTGCGGTGTGTCGTCGTCTCGTTCCGTTTCGCTTTTCCCCCTGCTGCGCCCACACTGTATCCACCACCCGCCCGCCCGCCCATCCATCGGTCGTCTTGCCTGCACATATTCCGCGATACCTCCCACATATCCCCACGCCGCATTTGCACATATCCGCTCTGCACATACCTCCCGCATATCCATCGTACATAGCCTCCGTATAATTCTTGCTACCCTTACATCTACATACTTCCCTACGCAATCAACTGAATCTTGTACGCCTCAGCCTCGCTCTTGTCAAACTTCATCTTGTCTCGTCCCTTGGTCTGGCCTTCCCGCCGATCGGGTGCCCAATCTCTTCGTCGCTTGTCTTCCCCCTCTTGAGTCTGGAGTCTTCAGAGTACCTCGCTCCTCCGTCCGAAGGACGAGAAGTAGATAACAAAATAAACACACGCCTACCTAGCCAGCTGGCCAGGTGGCCAGGTGAACAGGTAAAAGAGGAACTCGGACGTCGTGCACGGCGCACGCTCGCTCTCATTGCGGATTTTGGCGATTGAAGCGGGAGACCTGGGTTTGACTCCCAGCGTCCGATATGATAGCCCATGACGCCCACTTTTTTTTGCGCCAATGGTCGTCGTTCGGCTTCAGTCCGAGGCGCAAGTCTTTCGGAATTGAAGCTTCGCGCAGTTGGTTGTTTTTTTCCAGACTGGCACCGCGGCTGCGATTTTACGGGTCAGATTGTGGCCAGATGTTCAAGGATTTGGGTAGCTGGAGAATTCGGACGTGGTGCACGGTACACGCCTGCTTTCATTAGGTGTTGGCGTGGAAATTGAAGCGGGAGCACCGGGTTCGAGTCCCAGCGTCCGAATGCCCGCATCAGCTTTCTTCGTTCAGCTCCCCTTGAGGCAATTTTGCCGTCCAAACACCCGAGAGATTGCCCGCCTGGACAATTAAAATAAATTCGGCTTGGTATACAATCTGGCAGGTGGCCAACCGGCAGGCGATTGATTGATTTTATTCGGACATTACAGCAACATCGGGCGAACTTACTAGTAATAGCCAAATCGTGCGCGTATATCCAGGGTAGCGGGTAAGTAGATAATTCACTTCGAAGCTGGAGAAGACTCCCAGCGTCCGAATCACCCACTCCCATTTCTTTTTTGCTTTTTCTCGTGCGCCTTCTCTTTGCAAAGGGTCCACTGTCAAAGACGACCTCAAAGCTCGAGCTTCTTGCAAAATGGGAACGGGATCCGGCGTGGTATGCAATATCAAGGTCGTTCATCTGGCAGGCGGCCAGTGGTTGATTTTATTCGGACCTTACAGCAACATCAGGGGAGTTTGCGGGTCAAATCCACTTTCGCTTATCCGTCAACACGAGTAGAACAACACGAGTAGAAGGACAAACCGGACGTCATGCATGGTGCCTACCCGCTTTCGATGGGGTGATTCAGCCATCGAACTGGGAGTTCCGGCCGGATTCGGGTTCGACTCCCAGCGTTCGAATGACCCAGCCGTCGTTTCACTTTTTCGTTTTTCCTTTCGCCTGCTGCTTGCGGAGGTTTTGAATAACAGAGCTAAAATTGCATACAAGATCAAGGTGGTCGACCTTTGGTTGTCAATGGTTAATTTTATTCTGGCTATCGTTCACTGAACGAGAGCTCAGAGTACCGGGTTCGATTCCCGGCGTCCGAAATCAAGGGCGTCGTCCGCCTTTTTTGCCTACAATGGCCAGGTAATAGCACGAGGTATGGCTTTTGGGGCTTTCTGCCACACAGAATAATCTGCCTCAGCCCTCCTCTGACCTGTGTCTGAACTAAACGTGTGTGTGGGATGAATTGAGCATCGAAAATTTCGAAGGAACTCGGAATTGGTGCATGGCGTGCACCTACAGTACTTTTCTGAAAATCACTGGGCCGGAGGACCGGGTTGGATTCCCGGCGTCCAAACAGCTAGGACTCAACTAGTGTCCGTTTTTTTTAAATTGAGATTTCAATCCCTGACTCGTTTCAAGCTCTCCTAGCCTAGAAATCCCAACATCAAAGCTCATTTATCGCTTGAAGGCTCTTTGGAAGTGTCAGTACCTGTCAGTAGCCGGTGGTAATCGAATTTGAACATTTGGCGCAAATTTCAACGGCAAGTTCTTGGCAAGTTCTAGAAATATTTTACCTACGGTATGAAACAAGGAAAAGATCAACTCGGACGTTACGGGAACGGCTGTGTGCTGGATATGCCTGAGTCTCGACACCCTCGAATCAATTTTCCCAGACTGAACTCGTGATCATGTTCACACGGTTCAATTCGGGCATAATTCCCGAGCCTCGGCCTGATCCCCGACTCACACTCGGTTCCGAACTACGTATACTTATAAAGGGAGCGTACCCCCGAATGTGGGCAGAACATCTTTACCTCAATGCATTCGGTACCCACCTGAATTCTGCGTGAACCTAAGTGAAGCTCGAAGCTCATTAAGTGTTACGACGGCTAACTCTTCGGCAAAGCTATAGGCTTGTCTTGAGGATTAGTACAGCAGTCCTAAGACCACGGGGACGTATCCCGTGCCCACGATCAACGAAGATTCACTCTCGTTCATCCGCTACTTAGGTAGATTCTAGTGGAACGGAAGATTGCTTGAAGGAAGTTTGAATATCCTTTATTTCTACTCTTACTCTATTGCCTCACGGCAATACCAAATCGCTCAAGCCGCACTCCGTGCAACCGGTTTTGCTGACAGGCTGCGAGTGAGAGAGGACTACCTTGAAAGGGAAGACAAACTTGAACGGTAAAGACAACGCATCAAGGAAGTTCAAGGAACATCAAAGAACAACATAAACAATACACGACAGCGTCGCTTCCTTCCTCCACCATCATGTCCATGTTGGACAACCCCGCTCGTCCAGCCTGGGGACAGCTCCAATCAACTCAGTCCGTGAGCCTGCAGATCGGCCTCCGCGCCGACGATACAATCGTAGAAGCATTGTTCGCCCAGCGAAACGCCAAAGGGCGTCATCACGGGCGGCAGTGCTACACACCCAGCCGCATGAGCACCAGCCCGTCCCAAATGAGCACCCACAGAGCTGATCACGACAGCTTTCAACTATCCTTCAACGAGGCAAAAACGAACTGGTTTCGGCCAGGTCAAACGGCCCTGAGCGCCCAGCAGGACATTTCAACATTCATTGAGGCGCAAGAAAAATGGGTCAAGACTCATGTCGGACCGAACGCAGTTCATACTGAGGCAGCGAAGTGGTAAGAGATACTCCATTTCGCCACTCTTGCTAAGCTTCTGATCCTAGGGTTGTCGGTGCATATGCTGCTTTGTTCGCAAGTTGGTCGGTGGTGTCTATGCGCGTGGTACCCATGGGTGGCGTCGGATCCCGGCAATTCGCAGTTAAAGCCGAAGAGGATATACCACCCCACACCGTGTTGTATGAATTGACAGGACTATTGTCGTCCGACCCAGCTGATGGCCGCAGCCACTCCGATTTGTCCCTCATGTGGGACTTGGACGGCGTGCAAAGGGTCGTTTTTGGCCCCATCCGCCTCATCAACCACTGCTGTGACCCCAATGCTTGGGTCAGTTATCTTTCCTTCATTCCCGCTGTTTCACGTAGTAAGACGGTTACAGTTCCAGTTTGCAAAACAAGGGAACGGTCATGCAGTGACTGTATGCACGAACGACAAGAGTATCCAGAAGGGAGACGAAATTACCATCGACTACGGCCAGGGATATTGGACAGAGGATCATCCCTGCTTGTGCTCCGTCTGTGTACCCCGGGACCCAAACACTGTTCAGCGGCGCGCGGTGACGATAGACATGCCATACGACCCGCGATCGAAGTCTGCTCAACGACACTCACGACGCCGTGCAAACAAGGCCAAGGCAAAAAAGAAAACCTCAACTGAGGAGGCGGTTGAGGACGGTGGGCCTGCTTAGGGAACGTGACGATCTGCTAATTGTGAATATTGCTCCGTTGTACTTCGTCTCCTCGCGCATCGCGTTGAAAACACCGTCGTGTGGCCATCGATTCGCGCGGTGAAGTTGTCGCGGTGTCAGGTGATTCAGTGTCGTGCTTTCGGTTCTCTGCTGGCTCGAACGCCAGTGTGTAGCTACTACCTATGAAATGGGTACGTACCGAACTTAGAAGTCGGTAGATGTGCACAAGATGTGCATGGATGTAGGCCAGAGCTAGGTTCGGCTCCCACTGCGTCCGGCAGGGGTGGTGGTACCGAGGGGTCGACGGTCTGTCTCATTGAGCTTCGGTTACTTGGCTGCCATTCATGCAGGGAGCTTTTTCTGTCACAAGTCCGACGTTCAACCTGCGGGATTTGACGGATCAATTTACACCGCCACAGGAGTTGGACGACACGTCTCAAACTCTCACCACAACCTCCCCCTGTCTCGATGTCGTGGACCACTGGCACTGTATCTTCTGTGCAGCTTCGTTTCGCAAGACATTGTGGAAGGACCATCTAATTCCCCCTTCTTACTCCGGGTTGACTCGGCCTGAGGGAGGTTCAAGCCTTCAAGGGGTACCCGCCAAAGAAATTTGGCACACAGGGTCGAAAAAGTGAATTAACAGTGGAAGGGTTACTGAAACGGGAAATTTCGGGAATGGTATTTGGCCACCCAAAATGTTCCGTATCAGGTGCAATTTCGACTCAACAGAAACTGCTCCTGAAACTTTGAGTTTCAGGGAGCAGTTTACTGTACTATTTCGACCGTTTGTTCAGTGACGCGTGACAGAGGCCTCTGAAATGAATGAATTTGGGACCAGTGACAGTGACATCTGGTGGATGAAGACCTTATTTTTTGGGCAAGCCAAAGAGCGGGAAACGGATTTTTGAGCTACGAAAAATTTCACGAAGAAAAATACAGAAAAAAGCAAAAAAATATTCTAGTGCTCCCCCCAAAGGTTGCCTCCGTAGCGAGCGTGACGGTCATTTCCCGCTGGCCCCGCCCGAACACGGCTGTAGGCTCCGCTTCCCCTTCCGACGCCTCAGGACGGCCTGCGGAGTCGAAAACAAGTGGGCGGCCATCTTCAGCGCCGGCGGGGCTGTCGACCATGCCCTACCGTGCCCAATGCATTTCAGAGTTGGGGGTGCAGCCATTGGTACAGCAGAAGTAATTTTATTCCCTCTACGTCGACGCATATATATATAAAGAACATGATTTCCAAGCTTTTCTGCGTGCGATCCCGCGTCCCTGGTTTTGGCCTGTTCAGTGCCGCCTCGCGTACCGCATGAAGTGAACACCCTCACCGCAAGCGAAGGTGAACTGCACCAAGGGGACGACTCGGAAGATGAGGCGAATTTGCTCTTTGATTGCTTTGAAATATAAATGCATGCTTCCCGAGCCCCTCAGAGCCAGGATCGAGATTTGGTGGCGCTGCGCGGGCAGCTGCTGGCACAAGCGGGCTCATGGGGGCGAATGAATTTTTGCAAGTCGGTGACACGGTCCGTCGGCTTTTGAAGACCGAACCCAGTGAACTTCCGTGGTGACGGGTGACATGCGGTGAACAAACGGTCGAAATAGTACAGTATTGTCCACGAAAGACAATAGTTTCGGTCACAGTTTCGGATGTTACCGAAACTATTGTTTTTCGGGCTCCCGACACCGGCCCGCCCAAAATTACCATAAGCAACCTCGATCCCAACACACTTCGTCGGTCTTCCGAGTCACAGACGTGCTCATTTTCCTTCCTGGGAATTCAACGCCGGTGGCGCCTGCGCCCAGTGTTGGGTCTTGAGACACTATGGCCGAGTGGTTAAGGCGACAGATTTGAACTTCCACTATCTGTTGGTATTTACCGCGCAGGTTCAAACCCTGCTGGTGTCGGGAGCGGCCGTTGATCCATTTTTCGCTACTCTGATGGTGGGCAGCATTTTTTGCTTCACCGATTCCATCTGGACCGGCAAGTGCGCTTTCGCAGGTCTATTTTCTTTACCTTTGGGTTACGTACCAATACTTGTTTGCGGTCACGAAGCCTGATGAGCGCCCCAGATAGCCCGACATCTCGTGCCTACTGTATGGTGTACTTGTTGAATACCAACCGCCATCGCAATAGATACTTCTGCCCCGTTCTCCACCTTCCGAGGAATGTTGCTTCCTCACTTGACGTGGACCGCAATGGAAGGTTGGACCGCAATCGAAGATCATACCGCCATTGGTTCCAACTTCAACTTCCGAGTCTTGCTGGTTCGACACCGCGATGACCAAACTTTGTTCCTTTTGGAAACCGACTGAACCTGCCGCTATACCACCTTGTTTACTCCATTATCTTGATCTCCGCTGCTCATCCCATGTTCTGCAAGATTTTCTGCGTTACAGTAATAGGCGACTAATACGTCCAACCCTCGAGGGCCAGCTCGCCAAAGACCTATACGACTTGATCATAAGCTCGCTGTGGACTTGCTGTGGACATTGGCGTTCCATGACTCGTGCAGCCCCTTCACCAAGATCTTACGAGACGACCTTCCCACTAATGCTTTCGAGTGTTATGCCGACGTCGACGCTTTAGACGCAATGTCTCTACACCCGCAGGAATCTTTCGGTTCTACCGTGGCTCTCATCAAAATAAAGATTGTGGAGGACGTACGGATGTTGGGCAAGTTCTCGGAAAGTATGGTCGAGGCAGACTTGAGAGCTTTGGTGCGTATTCAAATGTTTCCTTCGAACACAAGAGGACTTTCTACGCGCGGCTGGGAAGTTCCGTCCGGGGAAGACATTGAAGATGCAGGACTTGATCTGCTCTCAGGATTCCTGGAGAATTGCTCCTCGGATAAACCCCCCTATAAAGCTATGGAGACACTGGAGGAGATAACGTGTCGACTTACCAGACGTCACTCAAGCAAATCGGGTCAGCAGGTTCGATTTGCGGCGAGCGTGCACACCATTCATTCCGTGGCAGACCTCAGAGAGCTGCTTAATGTCGTTGTCCATTCGCTCCTGTGGGATGGATATACCGGCGAGACGCGCTCTTACTGGCAGAACGAGTGTTGTTGGGTCACTGAGCCCACCGCTCATCATATCAATCAATGAAAGAAGTCTTCACCACCTACGAGTCGACAGTGTCAGCGGATCCCGACTCTCCCAAGGGCTTGCTGGAAAGAGTGCGAGCGATTCTGCATGTTTTGACGCAGAGGCTGAGCCAGATTCCCAACTTCAAGATGCGACCGCTGAGGTGGATGGGCCCGAACTGAATTCGAACCCATGGAGACAGGACTTACAGGAGGGCATACCCGGGTCCGATCCTGCCGCAGCTATTGACCTTCTGCAGTCTTGACGATGATTAGACCTGGCTGTAGTCGATCGTAATCTGTATATACGTCGAAATCGAACAGCTTTGGGAGGAAGAAATAGAGAGGTAAATATGTTGCCGACTCAGACGACAGCCAAAGTCTAAGCAAAGAGGATGCGGGATTGTGGGCCGGGGCACTTGCAAAGCGGTTCGTTTCTTTCATTCAAGATCACAACTTCTGCGAATGAACACGTCGAGCAGCACGCCCTGGTAGATTGCAAGTGGGATGTTATCTAGCCCCGATCCAGTGGGACACGGGTAGGCAGCTTCAGCAAGGCCCAGAGGCGTGTACGACCGATTGCGAACTACATAGCTACTCCATATACATCGAGTCTGTATTCAAGTTTCAAAGTTTCAAAGCGGAGGGTGACCGGGTCGAGCTTTTCACAAGAGGTTCAAGATACATCGCGATATCGTAAAAGTCCGTTAGCTTATCTACCGTGACATTCATCCCTCGTCAAGTTTTCGTACAAGTATCGTAGCGTGCGTAAAACATCATTCGTTTCGTCAGGTTGGTTGAGCTGATCCAAGAATCCAAGAAAGACAGTATGTGCGGTTGAATCCCAAGAAAACATGCGAACGTTTGATCCAACTTCGAACTTCGAACATCCTACGGGCACGCACAGAGCGTCATCCGAAGATACCCATGCCCCACACACTCCAACCCCGCAAACCCCGTCGCGCGATCCAACACATCGACCCTCAGCGGCCCACGCTGCTCATTGTACGCCCGTGTATGCGGCCCGTCCCTCGCATCCACCCTGCGCCGAAACGCGTCGCAGACAACGCCCCACGCCGCGAGGCTCATCGCGGTGCGGTCCGTATTCGTCAGCGGGGTGTTGAAGTACACGAATATGGCGTCGAAGACGTCACCCACTGTGACGCCGGGCGAGGCGCCTTGCGCGCGCGCGAAGATGGGGCCCCACCTGTTTTCCCAGTGCTGGAGAATCGGCGTGCTGGCATACGAGATGGTTATAATCGGTGCGGGGGGAAAGAGCGCGAGGGCGGTGAGGTCGGGGGAGTGCGGGGAGACGCGACGGCGCGCGGTGGAGGGGAAGCGGGTGAGGTCCCATTGGAGGACGGGTACGGGGCCGTATGCGCTGCAGAGGTCGGGATTGAGTTGCGGAGGACCGGACTGCGGTCCGAAGGGTATCGGGTATGGAGCGGGCAGTGCGAGTAACGGGGGCGGGCATTGAACGAGCGGGGGCGGGGGCGAGCTGCGGAATAGCAGGGGGCGTTTCTTGCGTCGTGGCGGTATTACAGGTGGCTGAGGGGGAGCGACTGAGGGTGGGCTGTTCACAGGTGCCCATGGCCACGGACCCCACCGAAAAGCTAGACGGTTTCAGAGTTGGCGATGCGAAGTACAAGGTTTACAAGATACGCACCAGGCTGCGGAGGGTCAGGACGTCTTGGGCTTCTCCCAAACGTCAGCGAGGGTGGCCACGCGAATGATGATGGTCCGGGGCAGCGACAACAGAAGGATCGCGGCCAGCACATGACGTCCCCCGATTAGTGTGGCCAAGGGTGATTTCGCAAGTATTCAAGCGTCCGACTCTGTGGGATGTAGTTGCTTTGTGTTGCAGTTGGTTTTGTGCGTGTACTCGCGTCGGTGAGCTTACGGTGAGCGGAAAGCACGGCGGATCAGGGAACGGGGTTTTTATGCTAACAAGCGTGATCTGTGGCCATCGTTCGGGCAACAAGGTGCGCCAACGCTTTTTTGGGGGCAGATAGCAACGAACGTCAAGATAAAACGCGAGGTTTGGCGCTGCGTCGCGCAGGCGCAGATGAAGACAATGCGGGAAAGAACAAGGGATGTGACTGTTGCGCCCGCCATCAGTTGATCGTCACATATTCTCGCACTGAGACACCTCGCGCAGGGGTACGTGCGAGCGGCCTCTATAAAGCTTCCTTTTTTTCTCCTGCATGCAGCCAACCATTCGGATTCCTCAGCGGGTAAGCCGCATCCAAAAAGAACGAAAAAACCACTCTCAGCTACGCCTGCGCCTAGATTTAGTGTTAACCAGCCCCAGACGTCCTCAAGACACTATAGCTTAGTGGTTGAGCATACGATTGCAATGAGAAAACCCGAATTCAATGTATCGTGAGGTCCCGTGTTCGAACCACGGTAGTGTCTACTTTTTTGGGCCTCCCGCCTCATCATACCACAAGCAATTCGGTCCTTCGACGCATCGTTGAACAGGTGTTGGTCTTCCCCCGCGCTTGCGCTCCTTTTTGCACTATTTTGTGACTCGGCTACCCTTAGTGTGCTAATCTTTATTGCAACCGGGACGTGAACTAGACGTCCAAGATTGATTCAGTCAACGAGGGTAGCAGGCAAGTAGCAGGTCATGTTTGAGCAATTCGCGGATTTTGAGACCCAGTCTTGTCCCCCTATTCCCAGACCATCTGCAGCGCTGAATTCGGATGTAGGGCACCGTCGTTCTCGTTCAGATCGGAGTGAAAGATGAGAAATTGAAACGGGAGTTCTGGGTTCGACTCCCAGCATCCGGATGATAGTCGTCATCCGCTTTTTAGTTTGGCGGTTCAACATCTACGTTGCAATTGCTCGGTGGGTATGGTTCTGAGGAGACACGGATACATGTACAATTTTTCTAGATCTTATTCAGAAAGGCTGCGCAGGAGGCCCGGGGCGAGCCCAGCGTCCGTATACAAATATTTGCCTAGGGATAGGATTCGTCTGCAATGGTTCAACCGTTGGTTGGTTCAAGTCGCAGGTTCGAGGAAGCAATCAAAAATCACTGCCACCTCCGAGTCGGATCACTGCGTGGGGCGGCACAAAGGCGGCGATTCTTGCCTCTTACCCTCTTCCCTCTCCTTCGCTCTGAACCCCGATTTTCGCGCTCCGGTGGTTTTAGATCTGGCTCCTGGACTGCCGTCCTTTGGCTGACCTGGCATTCCCGCCGGTCGCTCTAGGATTCATGAAGGCCCCGTGTGCATACTTATAGCGCATGTCGGTTTGGCGGCTTCAAGCTTGGCCATTTCTAGAGGCCGCTCAGCGTCGCCGGTTGTCCCCCGGTTGCTAATTTACTGTGGGTTCTTCTACGGGCTCTTCTCAGGACACGAAATCGTAGCTCCGGAGTTCGCGACACCTCTATTTGACAACAATGAACACCCTCAGCGCCAGTCCAGCGACTTCGAAGTTCGAAGTGGACTTCCGTCGGCGATGTCTGTGGCTCTTGATCCCTACCCGGATGGCCATAATTGCTCACATCGACCCTTGAATTATGGCGCGTTCCGTCCATGCTGAAACAACGCATCCTGTATCCACATCTATCCCACAGGTTTGACAGAAGGAAAGTCGGTGTGACATAGCGCGGCGCACACTCCCTCTTGAAATGTACTAATCTATATCCCTGGTGTTTGCATTTCTGCCACAACCCTGCACCCTCGAGCACTGCAAATGAAAATGGTACACACACGCGTTTCGAAGTCTTCCGAGGTTGACTCGGTGAGCTGTTCTTTCATTTCGTCGGAAGCGATATCTTTGGTGGCCGTTGTTGGACAAAATCCCGGTTTGACTTTGACTTGCATTTCACGACAAATCATTGCCGGTCATCGTCATTCACAACGACCTGTCAGCCCATACAAGCGAGCGGAATGTTAGCCGCAGTGCCGCTGATCGCCGGATGCCTTCCAGCCTGCACTAATGTATTTCCCGTAAACGGGAGTCCGGAGTCTCGAGGGTGCCCTCCGCCATGCTAACAGCTCATAGAAGCTCTTACAATGGCACAAGCCTTCTTCTCCCCCCAAGTTCTATCCCAGGTGCATTCAACAAAGATATAATTAATGCCTCCTCGGGCCACCTCGGCCTATAGGATCATCAATGAGATGTGGATGTGAGGTCTCAGCACAAGCATTGTAGTCTATAATGTAGGCTACTCCTCAATCTTACTTGAAGCTACTCGAATCAGGCTCTACATTTCAAGAAGTGGCTACCTTCGGTAAGTTCCTTTGGTAGGACTGCCAAGCCGCAACCCGTATCACATTTAGTTGATCTCCGTTTGATCTCCGCGTTGAACCGACCGGCATTACATAATTTCATGATGAACTGTCGTGAAAGGCTATGAATCCTTGTGAACGTTGGTGACGGTCATTGTGATGGTCTGTGAAGGCTTGTGAATTGCTGTGAAAGACAATGATATCTTGTGATTGTCTGTGAAAACAAAGTCAAATTATTTTTGTCCAATGGCGGCCTTCATAGATATCCTGATTCTTATGCCAGAGATAATCAATTCTCCATGGAAACTTAGGCGGAATTCTCCTACTCAGCCCACCCGCATACAACGATACCAAGATCGGACGTGGTGCACGGTGCGCACCCACTCTGCATCGCTCTGGACGCCGGTGGTATTCGGTGGGAGCTCCGGGTTCGACTCCCGGCGTCCGAATCTGCTCGGCAATGTACTCTTTTTTCGGCCGTCTCTGGATGTCGGTTGTCTGAGCGTAAAGATATTCTCTGCCTTTCAGATCTCGAATCCCAGATACTATCGCTCCTCAGCAGGCAGTTTCGGACTGGCTCAAAAAACTTTCTCTCGAGACCTCGGAGCCACACCCCCTCGAGAGTAATTGGCGCAGTATCTTTGTCACCAGCTGCACTGTCTATGAAGTCGTTGTGTATAGTTATCCCGGGTCAGCAGCAAGTCAGCAGCTAACACAAAACGCGGCACGCCCGCTGTCTATATTTACATTTTAACGGAAGTGGATCAAAATGGTTTGACAGCGAGAACAAATGGGAAATGGGATTACCGGCGATCGTAAACGGGATCAACAACGGGATCAACAGCGGGATCACCACCGGCAATCCCGGCATGATCGGGGCTATGGTGCCGATCAAAACTCCTAAGTCGCTGCCTGCTTTTCTCTTCTGTTTCCTTGCGTGCTTTGGACCGTGGGGTGTAATATATATCAATGGCTCTTTCAGTACGCCTTCTTACTACATAATTGGCTCCATGGATTGGGCGAGAGTTGATTGTTACAGTTACAGTGCCGCTGCTGAACAAAACCCCTGAATCGGCGAGTCTCAGTGTCGTCTCAATGTCTGGGGCCCTGACTCATTGTGTGCGCGTGGAGAGTAATATGGGCTGCAATAAAAAAAAGTGTACTCGCTTCTCATTTGAAGCTCATGTTGGGAATACTCCGGAATACCCGGCGCGATCATTGCCATCAATTTCCATCAAACGATGGTCATTGCCGCTTCCTATAGTATATCCCGCTCCTTGAATCACTCCACCGAGGCAAAACGTGGGAGGAGTTGTCCAGTCCATGGGCAAAGGGTGTCGCAACCTGGAAGGCATGCTGTTTACAATTATTGAGCACATGAGGTGATACTGATTGCCGATGATGCCGCCGTTTTTGATCCCGGTGTGATCCCCGGTTATCCCAAATCCCATACTTTCACTTGACAGCGGGATGAAACATACTTGGCAAATGGACTTCCACGGCCCTGCGATTCCTTCCTGACCTGATGTTGGCCCACATCGCGTTCAACCCGCCATTCAATCACCCTACTATCCAAACACTCTTAGCCAACCACCCGTTACACAATTTCGTTGGACAGCGGATTGTGCGCGTCTAGCACTAGCCGCCCCGTCAAACACCGAATCAACCGAAACTACGCCCCGCCCCGCTGATTACCGGTCCCGGTGCTACATATGTGCTAAGAACGGTCGCCGTCGCTCTCACACTGCCGCCGTTACCTCCACACGCCAGCTACTTCTCTTTCCCTTACTCATGACAGCAGAAAGGTGTATGTACGGCGTCCTTCAGAGGTTCGAATTCAGTTGACTTTCAACGTAGTTCGTGCCTCCGATGCGGATATGACGGTGGCCTCGTGCGATGGAGTGCTTTTCAAAGTCCATCGTAGGAATCTGGCCGCCCACTCCGACGTCTTTTGCAATGCTGAGGACGCTACCCTGCCCGTGAACGGTGAAGAGATCGTTCACCTTACAGAAAGCGGGAACATTCTCGACATTCTGTTCCAATTCATGTACGACACGACCCCGGCTCTCGAGCCGTTGGAGTTCGAAACACTCGCAAGGCTGTCAGAGGCGGTAGAGAAATACGGTGTCCACTCTGCTTTGGCGCCATGCCGTTCGCAAATGCAGTGCGTTATTTACCATTCCCGAGAAAGTCCTGCTGAGAACAGATACAACGTGATTAGGGCCGCTGCTTCGGAACATCCATTCGAAGTCCTCATTTATGCTCTGAGACACGATCTTGCAAATCTCTCCAACGACGCGGCCCAACGGAGTATGGGTTGCGGAGTCGCAGAGGCCTTGGAAGTGCTCCCACCCGACTATTTTAAACACTGGGTGAGTCTGATTAAGAATCACGCAATTATGGATTTATGTACGGTATAGATTTTGTTCCACGAGCGTTGGCACAGAGAAGTGTTTCTTGGCCTTACCAACATGTTGTACTACGACTCTCATATTCCGCTCGTACGGAGATGTGTTGCAGCGGCGAATCCGATCTTCAGCTTCCGCCAAGAATTGAGCGATGCTAGCCTTTCGAGTCAAAGATTTCTGAAGAACATGATGGCGATGAACTTTATGCCTGAAGGTCAGAGAGACTTGTAGGATATCTATTCGAGCTGACCATGCAGCAGCTCCGCTGCCCAAAATCCCGTCGGCCAGCGCAACACTGCGGGATCACACAGAGAGCAGATGTTTTGACTCGTTACGGAACTATGGCCTTGCCAGGGGAAAAGTGAGGGAGGAGGAACAATAATTTATTAGTGGCAAATCGTATTGTGTTGAGCTGCGTACCATTCTTCCTACACCTTAGTTATACCCACAGCCGTCCTGGGTGTTTTCAACCCATCCCATTATCCAATTGCAGCGGCAATCACCGACATCATGATGATTCCGACGACCCACACAATAGCCTTCCCTCTTACCGCCATGTCGCGCGGGTCTATTCCCGCGTGGCTTACTCAGTCACCCGCTACCACTACCAGACAGATTACTCACACTTGCTCCTCCGAGTGTGTGAGATTCGTGGGCAAATTTGGCGCAATTTGGGCGCAATTCAAATTCGCAATTCTCAAATTGCGCCTGCCGACGTTCTCTCAAGCAACTCTCAAAGCTCTGTGCTCTCCTAAACTGCTCATTA